TTGGAATAAGTGAAATTTCTTGTGTCAAAAAAAATTTTTTTTTTCGCTCAAGAAAATAATTAGGAAGAAAAATATTTTCTTGAGTCAAATGAACCTTTTTATCTGTGCAGATACTAAAAATTCTTGGTTAGAGAACAAATTTTATTTGTCTCACGAAAAGTTCTTCTTTCAAAAATACCAAACAAAATAAGTCAATGCTGAAAATATTTATGGAAACAATGATTAATAAACAAATTATCTTGGTCGAAATCTAATTTTTTTGAGCGACGAAAATTATCTTGCTTCAAAGAAAATTTTACATGGGCCACGACTATTTTAATCTTTAACATTAATTTTCTTTATTCAAGTCAATTTTTTTTCTGTACACAATTTTTCAGAAAAATACCAAACAAAAATGTTAATTTAATGGATTTATTCGTTTTATTAAAAGTCGAGGCTTTTAAAATTTTAATTTAACATCCATATAATTAAAGCAGGATTATTAATTTATTTTATATTCCAAAAATACAATGTATGTTGGAAATTTTACTCTTTAAAAATATTGATAACTTCACCGGTCACGACCCACATGAAAAAATATATATTACTATTTATTTTTTTTACACGAAATATCTTTTAACTTCTATATGTTCCCTTATATGTTTTATATGCCACTGAGATTTTTTTAATCTATATATTTCCATGTGGAGATTACTGAATACATTTAATTTACCAAGTGGTAATTTTTAGCTTTTATTAATAATATATATTTTAAATGTGAAATTGGTAATGAATATAATGATATATAATTTAATGAAATAAGTAGGATATACATCTCAGTAATGTATAATATTAATAACGAGGTAAAATACACAGAAAAACGAATTAGTTGTGGCTACCGATTAATAGCGGGTAACATTGCGTGATGGTAGCATTTTTACAGAGAAAAAATTAGCATGTAGATGCTATACGTAACACGTTGTGGTTACCAATTCACTACTTTTGGTAACCGGGTTCGCTCGTAAGAATAACTAACTTATGAGTAATAAATTGAGTCAAACAGGATACTTATTATTTAAGTGTAAAAAATTATCCAATGTACTCGACTTTGAATTGGGATCTGAAACATTTGATTTAGATTTAATTCTTGAAATAAACTGAAGCTTTCCTCAACTTCCACTCTACCGAGAAATTATCAAAAATAGTTTAATTATCACTTTATTTGAATTGATAAGAGTAACCTCTTAATAATTCAATCGTATTCATTTAACTTTAATTTAAATTAAAACACAGGATGTAACTTTCCAGGTAATCGGAAAAAATAGACCCGGAAATAATTTTAAAGTTATGAAAAGTTCATATTATTTCATTAAAATTATTGTAAAATAAAAATTATAATAACAATAACAATAATAAAAATAAAAAATAATAATAATAATAATAACAATAATAATAATAATTTAATAAATCTGAAATAAAATGAATTTTTCATAACTTTAAAATTTTTTCCGGGATTGAATTTTCCATTATTATGATCTTCAAAAATTCAGCTGAGTGTTGTAAAGTGTTGTTTGCAAATAAAAAATATTGTTTAGTTAGCTATTTAAAAATATTAATTTTATTAAAAGTAGTTAACAATAACATTAATAAATCTACTGTATCACACTTACATGTAATAAATTCATTTTAGTATCGAATATTTAACATTTCAGTGTCTTGATTTAACACAATTGTTTGTGTTGTTCGATCGATCCGTTTATCAACACACAAAAATATATTTTATTCATTACTTAAATAACTCTTTTTTAGTATTACATTAATATAAAGTTTTATTACTTCTAACGCAGAGATGTGTTACGTTACACATGGAAAATTTTGTACTGTGAAGTGGAAGAAGTAACTTTAATTTTTTAATTATTTTCATTTTATTTATTTTAACGTTTGTGTAACAATTCATTACAAATATATGCCTTGTGTTTTTTAATTTTTTAACGCATTGATGATTTTTATCCTTTAAAAGACTGAGAAGAACTAACTTATTTCTGAAACATTAGAGCTGATGATCTTACATTCAGTTTGATCTGTAATTTTTTACCTTATGACACTATTCAGCGATTTTATCGAGGTCGAAAGTGATTCAAAACCACTTTTATTCTCATCGAATCTATTTTCCATCTTGGTTGTACCGAATGGCACTTTTATCAGGAAAAATTTTTATTACAAGGAGCTTCAATAATCGTAGGATAATTACTGATTGAAATATTGAATGATTTACTAATAAGGTTTATCCTATACTCTAGTTATAATCTGCGCAAAAAAACTTTGAACTACCTCTTGTCACCTTACCTACTATACTGTCGCGGAGCTATTAATTTTAAATGAAATTTGTTGCTCTAAAATTAAGAATATCTAAAATAAAATACTATAAGAATTACTATTACTATCAGTTGGTTTCTATGGAGAAAAAAAAATAGATGCTTCTATATCAATACAATTATTTCAAGCAATTAAATAGGAATTCTGCTCTCTAACTTTGAGTCTTAATTATTTCTCACACAAAATCAGTAAAAAAGCTTTTATAATTTATATTATTAAGAGAATAAGCAAAATTTTGTGACCAGTGTATTTATATGATAAAATGCATTTTTATGATTAAATTTGGTATCGTTGGAAAAGTCTTGACCTGGAGTTGTGTCTTTTCAAGGTTTCATATTATTCGTACCAATGGTCAATTTATGATGATAAGTATTTAGGCTGCATTTGAAAATGCTCTATCTCTAGATATATAATTAATAAATGACCTTGTATCTTGTGAACTATTGACATTTTTAAAGATATAAGCTCATCCCGATGTTACACTCATCAAGACCTTTAATTTAAGTACCCACATCAATTTTTCATATATTTATATATATTATATTTATGTATATATGAAAAATATATCAAAATGCATATGGGTACTCAAATGAAAGCTCTTGATGAGTGTAACATCATGATGAGCTTATATCATTAAAAACGTCAATAGTTAAGAAAGTACAGTGCAATTTAACATAATTAAGAAACGACTTAGTATCTTGTGAACTATTGACATTTTTAAAGATATAAGCTCATACCGATGTTACACTCATCAAGAACTTTCATTTGAGTACCCACATTAATTTTTCATATATTTTATATATTTATATATATTATATATATGTATATATGAAAAATATATCAAAATGCATATGGGTACTCAAATGAAAGCTCTTGATGAGTGTAACATCATGATGAGCTTATATCTTTAAAAACGTCAATAGTTAAAAAAATACAGTGCAATTTAAAAAAAGTTATTATTTAATAAAGCAAAATTTTATTTATTTATAGTTCACAAGTCACAGCAGTCACATAGTGACTGCAAGGTTGCTAGTTTAATTTAAATTCTTATAAAATAATTATTCCCAGAAAGTGTTAACACAAGCAAAACTTAAAAAATTTTTAAATCTATAGCTCAAAGGTGTAAAATTTTTTTAAAATTCTGTTTATGAGAAATTATAAAAATTATTGGAACAAATTGTTTAATTACTTACATGTTTCGAATTTTGATTCAGTTTTTTACTTTTTCCTCTTCCGTAATTTCATTATTATTCTTTACGTATAATCACATAATTACGTACGTGAAAAGATAGTGGATCAGTATTATATAAGAATCAAATCTCACAAGTCAGCTTAAGCCCAGTAGAAATTGCAATTTTAAATTTAATTAATCAACCAAATGAATAGAAACTCCCTGAAGTCAGTAAACTGAAAGCATTTGAAAATTTTTTTAAAAACTTAGAAATTTTCGATAAGAGTATTTTTAGTTCATACTTACAGTTAACTATCTTCAAATAATCAGAGTCGTTTTCCGTATTTTTACTAAACAACAAATAATTTACGTCTTTACTCAGATTCTAAGCAATGACATCAAAGTCTTCTTCACATATTTAATTTAAGGTAGAAAGTAAAAAAATAATTAAGCATGTAGTTTTAGAAATTTATAAATTTATATATAAACTAATATATTCGTTCAAATTTTTATGATACTATAAAGTTAGCCGAAGTTTTTAATTTTCTGATTTTTTTTTTAATAATTTACTTAGAACAAAAAAATATTTTTTAAAAATTGCACTTTCAGTTTTTCAAGTTTTTTACAAATGAAATTTTTTTTTTTTTAATAATTTTTTCAATAAAAAAAAATTCTAAAAATTTTTAGATGTCGACTAACTTAATTTTCAACAAATGTTTCAATTATTTATGTTGGTATTAATTTTTTGGTCAGAGAAGGAAACAAAAATCTTTAAACTTGAACCGTTAGATGAAAATAATTATTAAAGATGAAATCCAATCAAGTGTACGTACACAAATGTTTTTTTCAATTTATCTTGTGTTACAATTTCGAATAAAATATTTTTTTTTTTGCTTCGATGATCTAATTTCTATTATCACTTTTTGTATATCATTTCTATAACAATTGAATTCGCTGACATTTTATTAGAGCGCAGAATCGAACCTAAGGCGCTGCTGCCCTCTAGAATGAACTTGTCGTAAATGGATACTCAATGAAGAAACTCTCTCAAAGAAAGAAAAAAATAGTAAAACAGAGCGACTCCATACACAAACACAGTGACGTTTAATTTTGTTTTGATTTACGTACAGTTATTATGTATAAAAATATTGTATTGTTTGGAATTTTCCATTGGAGTATATAAATTTATTGCAAATAAAATAATTTTTTTACTGTGAACTAGATTAAAAGTATAAAATTCAGACTAATTTAATAATTTTCATGGTGATTCTTTATAACTTTACAATCTCACAATCGTCATTAGATGAATAAACAAAATTGATAAAATACTTTAACAAAACATATTTTTTCTGGTAAAAATATTTTCAATCTGAATTATTAATTTCGTTGTTTTTAATCAAATTAAAGTTTCTATGTATAATGTTAATACGCTTTTGTTTGGTATATTTTTTTTAATTATAGGTTTACGAATTTCATGGATAAAAAAAACGGTAATTCGAAGGATGAATGGGGAGCTGAAGTTGGCTCTCACATCCAGCGAGTCTCTATGAATAATCTAATCATGAACTATTTAGTCACAGGTAAATTTTTTTATAAATTTATATATTACTCCAAAATGTTAATTATTGCTCCCTGTCTGTAATAAATTTTTGCACTTATTTTTTTAGAAGGGTTTAATTATTGCTCCGTATCTGTAATAAATTTTTACACTTATTTTTTTAGAAGGGTTTAAGGAAGCTGCTGAAAAATTTCAACAAGAATCTGGGGTAGGTCCAACCATTGAATTGAATTCTATGGATGACAGAATTCGTATAAGAGATGCAGTTCAAAATGGACGTATTCAAGAAGCAACAGATTTAGTTAATCAGCTTCATCCAGAGCTACTTGATAACGACAGATACTTATATTTCCATCTACAGCAACTTCATTTAATAGAATTAATACGTACTGGGCGAATTGAAGAGGCATTGCAATTTGCTCAGGAACAATTGAGTGAAGCTGGAGAATCAGATGACAATATTTTGAGTGAATTGGAAAGAACTCTTGCGTTATTAGCTTTTGAAGAACCTCATAACAGTCCTTTTAGTGATTTATTGCATCCGTCTCATCGACAAAAGGTAAGAATTCATTGTCGATATTTTTATAATAAAAGTCAACAATAAGGGCCAGTTTTTCAATCTGGGATAAAATTTTATCCGGTACTGTCAATATAATAAGAAAAAAAATAAATAAATTAGCGACGTGGTATTGTTAGTTCTCCACGAATTTGGTCATTTATTTAAATAAAAAATAAATATATAATAAAAATAATAATAACCTCTTATTGTGTCATTTAAATTGTTTTTAAATTAATTAACACAATTATAGATTAATAATAGATATGTCAAACGCACGATATGAAGATATGAGCTCGAAGAGCTCAAAAGCATAGAACAGCGACCGCTTAGAGCTCGATAACGTTACAAGTGCAATTTCAAGCGCTTAGATATGGAATTAAGCGGGAAGTTGCAGGGATACCCTCAAGGCTCATCCGTTTTCCTAATTTTTATTTTATTTATTTACAATCAGCAAGTTGGAGATTAATATTTCTGTGACATGCGGCTAATGTTTATTTATTTTAATTAAAAATAAGTGACTGAATTCAGGGAGAACTACTCGTACGCAATATCACTGTGCTGAATTATTTATTTTTATTATTACTTATATTGGCAGTACTTTTATCTCGAATTAATAAGCTGGCCCTGTCATTTTTAATTTAATAAATTTTTTTTGTCTTTGTAGATTGCGAGTGAATTGAATACAGCTATTTTGAAAATGGAGCACAGAGAATCAACTAACCCCAGACTAAACAATTTATTAAAAATGATTTTATGGGCGCAAGATGAATTAGATAAGAAAAAAGTTAAATATCCAAAAATGACAGATTTAGGGAGCGCAACTATTGAAAGTCCCAAGTAATTCAATTTAAATAAGGGCTATAAGATTAAGAAAAAAAATATATTTACTAATATATATATACATATATATATATAACAGTCCGAATATTGTTTATAAATATTTAATATTAATATTTAGTCTTATTATGATGTAGCTCAGGATTTTTTCAACTGTTAAATAAATGCGAGTCTTAAATTTCCGTTATATTTTGTTCTAAGTATTAAACTTTTTTTCTGATTTAAGGAACTAATTTTATTCACGTTTGATTTACTCAGTACAATGTTTAGATATTTAATCATGAAGATAAAGTTATCTGCAATTACACTGAGAAAAAAAAGTACTACTCTTGAGAAAATTTTCTTGTCTCAAAAATTGATAGAATTAATCGAATTATTTTTTGTTTAATTCAAGTGAATCTATTCGTTTGTTAATCTATCAAAATTAATGCCAATATTTTATTATCATGATAAATATTGATATTCTTTTGTCAAAAAATCAAAATTTATTTTAAACGATTCTTGAGCCAAAAAAAATTTTTTTTTCTCAGTGTACTTGCAAATTACGAGATTAAAATGAATTCTATATGATATAAAATTTAAAGAGTGTAAACGTCGATATTTATCTCTTATCGTACTTGGTAATTCAAATTTAATAATAAAAATGTATTCACTGTAGATATAATAATAAGAAATAATTAAATAAGAAAAATTCAGTAATTATCTTGAGAAAATTCCAGCTTTTAATATTTATAAAAAAGAAAATTACAAATACGTAATACAATATAAACAATATAAAAGTTAAATCAGAGCGATAAAATGATACTTTTATTATGAATATTTTTCTAATAACCTATTACATTAAAATAGAATATAATTTTACAAAATATAAATTCATACATCCATATCCCGTGCAAAAAAAAAATCTGATCAAATTAAATTAAAATCTAAATTTTAGATTGAAATTCATATTTTGACACAAATATGAATTAATCTTGAAATCAATACAAATTTTAAATTCATTCGTAGATAGAAATTAGCACGCCTGTAGAACTTTCGATCTTACTTCAGAATTTTTATAAAGACTTTAAAATATTTAGGAGAAATTATCACATTAAATAATTATCGTATACTTACAAATCTTATTTTAAATAAATAATAGATTTATGCTGAATTACAATAAATTTTTTGTAAAATTGCAATTAATTATTTTACAAGAAATTGATTGTAGTTCAGCATAAATTTAATATATATATATATATTTGAAATAAGATTTGTAAGTATACGATAATTATTTAATATAATAATTTTTTCAAACTGGGTAAAACTCATATTAAAAACAATTTTATTCGTAATTTAAAACGAAATTATATAAAATTTATCCCTAATATTCTTAAGTCTGTATTAAATAAATTAGCAGGCGTGCTAATTTCTATCTACAAATCAATTTAAAATTTGGATTGATTGATCTCAATAATAATTCATATTCATGTCAAAATATAAATTTCAATCTTCAATTCAGATTTAAATTTATTTTGAATCAGAATTTTTTTTGCATGGGATATAAAGATACTAATACGGAAAATATTATATGGATGTTTTAATAACAATTATTACCAACCAAAAACTAATTCCATAGCTTTAGAAACAATACCAGAAGCTTTCTGTGGAACATTTTCTGGCGATCGAACAGAATGAGAGTTTAAATGATGATTATAACCAGAAGCTAGTGGTCGAGCGTTATGTAATTTTGGAGAACGTATCGCACTATTATAATCAGAACTTTGATTCAATTTAGTGGGTGATGAGAAAACTCTCATACTTCGATTTAAATTACTACAATTTTCTTTATCCGGATTTAAAATAACCCCTTCATCAGTGCACGGCGCAACGCCGATCATTATTAACCCTGATACAATATTGCCATTGCACAAAAGTGCTCGTTGAGCTTCTTGTTCTGTAGCACATTTCAGATGAATCCAATTACTTTGCGGATGTGGCGGTGGATGCTTATCAACAATGCGAACTCTATTTGATATATGAGATAGAACAGTATTTAAAGTGTCAGGTGGAAATCCAAAAACAGTAATCCATCTAAGAAGTCCTTGACAAGGTTCGGCGTTATTAACACTCGTATTATTATCCATAAAAAATAAATCATTTACATTACTCATATTCATTCGAGTTTGATGCCGAGATAAACTTAAATTTTCAGCATTCTTGTATACTTCCGAAGATTGGGTCACTTCCAAAGAATCAAAAAGACCTCGAGTTGGTGGCCCGCCTGCATGATTTTCGTTCCCCACTCTAGGACTTCCAGGACTTGTAACATTAGCAAATATAGCTTTTTGTCTATTGTGACGGTAATCTGGCGTTGAATAGCTGGGTATCGGTGATGGCATGTTTGAACTGACCACATTTGAAAATCTCGATGAATCGGCTATATTTGATGTGCCTATTCTTGCCGGCTAAATTAAAATTTTTTTAATTAATCAATTTATTTATTTATTTTCTGTAAATTTATTATCAACTCAATTTTATACTTACTGTTGTGGCTTCACCTAATAAAAAACTTGGGAGATAGGCTGGATTAACACTCGGACTACCGGGATTTTGCATCGGACTACCGACAGGAGAACCTAGAGTCATTGGTTCCATCTATAAAAAAAAAAAAAAAAAAACAAAAAAAAAAAAAAAAAAAAAAAAAAAATTAATAAATATTCATAGAAAATTAAAGTACCAATATTTAATAATTTTTAGAATTTTTTTATGACATTAAAGTTAGCAGTCACTTAACAATTTTTTAATTTTATTTATCAAAAAAATTTGTTCCAAAAAATTATTTTTAAAAAATTGCATTTTTTATTTTTTTAAATTTCTACATGTCAATTTTTTTTTTTGCCATAATTTATTTGCTATAAAATTTTAAAAGTTATTAAATATATGCTAAATTAATTTTCATAATTTTTTTTAAGAAATAAATTAGTGCCAAAAAAATTAAAAATGCAATTTTTTGGAAGAAATTTTTGTTATTAAATAAAATTAAAAAATCGTGAAGTGACTGCTAACTTTAATGTCATCAAATATTACACATTATTATATTTAAAAAAATTTTCATTCAACGTGAATGGAGGTAGAAAATGAATACAATAGGTGCTTGAGGTTAGGAAAATAATGTTCATTATATAAACGATGATTTATGCCTTTGTTCAAGTAAATTTAATAAATTTAATTAGTGAAACAATAAAGAATTTTTAAACTTACCCTAATAATAAGTTGATTGATATTTACAGTGATTAAATATTAAAAAAATAACTGTTTTAATGTTCTCCAATAATAAATAATTGTTTGACTGCCTGTACTTGCGTAAAAATTTCAAATTAGTAAAATCAGTTAACTGAGGCGGAATTTATATATGTATTTGTGTATATTCTCGTATATTCTTGTAAGTATATTTTCATCGGTAATGTCCATTTTAAGTGTTGTAACTTTATGTAGATGTCGTTTTGTGGTAATTCTGACTAATACAAAAAAACATTATTGATCATTTATATTAGTAAAAAAGTTTTATAAATAAAAAAAAAAAAAATAGATTTTTTTAATAAATTTCAACTTGATCATGACATTCTACTTGCTAGACTTTCTACTTAATTTTTAATCCCAAATTATTTAGTACACGTATGATACAATCACTTTTAAAATTTCATGCGATTATATATGTAGATTATAGGTATACATAGACGTAACAGTAATAATAAACATATTTGTCATGTATGGAAATACTGATGACACTGAAGTAGATAGACATTAAAAATTTTTTTAGAATTTTATGGCAATTAAATTATTATAAAAAAAATTTATAAAAGTTCCACATGTGAAAATTAATAAAAATAAGTGAAAATTTTTAGAACAATTTTTTTATTTTAATTTATTTGTTAACAAAATTTTTTAAATTGACAGCTGACGGCTAACTTCAGTATCATAAATACTCATGTAGTAGTAAAGTGATTCTATATAATGTGAACACCATAATCAGCTGTTAATAAATACATCTTAGTAAATAAATAGTGTTATTGAATTTAAATGTATCAATTTATAAATAGAAATGTTGTTTAAAAATAATTTTTCATAGAATGAAAATTATTTATACTTTTTTGCACAATATTATTTTTTCAAGGTACTAATATGGAATATAATTTTTTTTCGATAATTTAAAAAATATTTTTTTTTGTTCCAACTATTAAATTTTGGATTATAGTTTTTAACAGATTTATTTATGAAATTTATTCGCCATATGGTTAACTTTTTTAATCGTTAGTATTTAACCAACAATAGTAAGTATGAAATATGTTTATAAACATAAACATATGATTCATTACTTTGACAATTACTCATTAATAGTTGTCCATTACAGTCGTAATAAATTATTGAAAAAATATTCGATTTTATAATTTTTTTTTATTGTTATTTATTCAATAATATTTTTTACAATATTTGGATTCAATAAAAATGCGGATTTTATCATATTTCATTTAGTAGCTAATAAATTGAATAGCTACATAATCTGACTTTTTTTTTAGTGTTGAAATCGTGTCATTAATTTTTTTATTCCTTCATAAATTATGGAATAAATTTTTAAATTGACAGCTGACGGCTAACTTCAGTATCATAAATACTCATGTAGTAGTAAAGTGATTCTATATAATGTGAACACCATAATCAGCTGTTAATAAATACATCTTAGTAAATAAATAGTGTTATTGAATTTAAATGTATCAATTTATAAATAGAAATGTTGTTTAAAAATAATTTTTCATAGAATGAAAATTATTTATACTTTTTTGCACAATATTATTTTTTCAAGGTACTAATATGGAATATAATTTTTTTTCGATAATTTAAAAAATATTTTTTTTTGTTCCAACTATTAAATTTTGGATTATAGTTTTTAACAGATTTATTTATGAAATTTATTCGCCATATGGTTAACTTTTTTAATCGTTAGTATTTAACCAACAATAGTAAGTATGAAATATGTTTATAAACATAAACATATGATTCATTACTTTGACAATTACTCATTAATAGTTGTCCATTACAGTCGTAATAAATTATTGAAAAAATATTCGATTTTATAATTTTTTTTTATTGTTATTTATTCAATAATATTTTTTACAATATTTGGATTCAATAAAAATGCGGATTTTATCATATTTCATTTAGTAGCTAATAAATTGAATAGCTACATAATCTGACTTTTTTTTTAGTGTTGAAATCGTGTCATTAATTTTTTTATTCCTTCATAAATTATGGAATGTAATAATTATTTAATTTCTGATAACATTTAGATAAATCGTAAAAAAAAAACAATTTTACCCCTGGTGGGACTCGAACCCACAATCCCCGGTTTAGGAGACCGATGCCTTATCCATTAGGCCACAGGGGCTAGTTATTGACTGGACGATATTATACATTGCTATATTACTGGGCCATATTGAAAAATATAAAATTAGAAATTTTTACCTATTATTGAGTAATAACTATTTTTTTAGTTTGAATAATGAAAAGTTTTGAAAATCATACGGAAGTAGTTATTATGAAAATAAAAAAATGCATCATAATTATGACATCGAAGTTTTCCAGACATTAGAAATTTTTTTAGAATTTTATAGCAATTAAAATATTATAAAAAAAAAAAATTAATTAAAAAATTCCACATGTGAAAATTAATAAAAATTATAAGTGAAAATTTTTAGAAGCATTTTTTTATTGTAATTGACTTGTTAAAAAAAATTTTTAAATTAACAGCTGACGGTTAACTTCAGTATCATTCATAATTTTATATTATTTTACAGAATTCGATAAATTTTCATAAATTATAAAAATATTTTTTTTCAATGTGATTTATTTTTATTTTAGATGATATCAACGAGGTACGCATCATTCATCTCAGGGATTATAATTGCATCAATAACATGGGCATTCAGTCTTTATCTATACTCAAAACTCACTCAAAATGCAAATGTGGTAAATCCGACAATGTTAGTTTCGGAGTACACGATCCCACTGGAAGAATCAGTATTTAAGCAAAAAATAATCCATGACAATGGTGAAGAGAGAATTGGTGGTAAAAGAAACAGCGCTAAACTTATTAAACAATTGCAGCCTGTTCCAATAAAATCAGCAATTGGATTAGAATATGGTACTATTTATTTATTTTCTCAATTGCGCTTTATGGATTATTTTTTCTGTTTCACTAATAACAATTGTTTCAATTTTATTACAGGTCTTGATGAATTAGGATTAGTAAGAAACATAGAAGATCAAAAAAAGAGAGATGATGGTTATAAGAAATACGCCTTTAACACTTTAGTCTCGGACAATATTGGAATAAGTAGGGCAATACCAGACACTAGGAATAAACTTTGTTCAGCTATAAAATACTCCGATAAATTACCAAACGCCAGTATTGTAATTTGTTTCTACAATGAACACTATATGACTCTACTAAGAACATTACATTCTATAATTGATAGAACACCTGAAAACCTGTTACACGAAATTATATTGGTCGATGATTATAGTGACAGCGATGAGTTACACAATAAAATAAATAAGTATATTAATGATAATTATTCAGGTAAAATAAAGTTTTTTAAAACCGAAAGAAGAGAAGGGCTTATTAGAGCTAAAATATTTGGAGCTAGAAAAGCAACTGGTGATGTACTTATTTTTTTGGATAGTCATGTTGAAGTTAATAAAATGTGGATTGAACCATTACTTTCTCGAGTTGCTGAATCTCCAACAATTTTACCAATGCCAGTAATTGATATTATTAATTCAGATACATTTCAATACACGGCAAGTCCCCTGGTTAGAGGTGGATTTAATTGGGGCTTAAATTTTAAATGGGACAATGTACCAAAAAAAAGTTTGAGTAGTAATGAAGATTTTGTAAAACCTCTTAAATCACCAACGATGGCTGGCGGGCTGTTTGCTGTTGATAGAAATTATTTTATTGAAATGGGTGAATATGATGCAGGAATGGATACATGGGGTGGAGAGAACTTGGAAATATCATTTAGAATATGGATGTGCGGAGGTAGTATTGAATTAATACCTTGTTCACGAGTTGGACATGTATTTAGACGAAGACGACCTTATGGTAATGATCGTCAGGTAGATACAATGTTAAAAAATTCATTACGCGTTGCATATGTTTGGATGGATAAATACAAAGAGTATTTTTTGAAAAATGTTCATCAAATTGATTATGGTGATATATCCGATCGTGTAGCACTGCGTGAACGATTAAAATGTAACGATTTTTCGTGGTATTTGAAAACAGTTTATCCAGAATTAGCGCTTCCCGACGATAATCAGAGTAATTTAAAAAAAAAATGGCTTAAATTAAATCAACAACCAATGCAACCGTGGCACTCAAGAATCAGAAATTATACAGCTCAATATCAAATACGGTTAACTAATTCTGGACTTTGCATTCAAACTGAAAAAGATATTAAAACAAAAGGATCAAAATTAATACTCATCCCATGTTTAAGAACCAAGTCTCAAGTAATTTTTATAGCTATTATATATCTAATTTGGTAATCGGAAAAAAATAGACCCGGCAAAAATTTTAAAGTTATGAAAAATTCATATTATTTTATTAAAATTATTATATGAATAATAATAATTCAATCAATTTATAATTTTTATTTTATAATAATTTTAATGAAATGAATTTTTCATAACTTAAAAATTTTTTCCGGTTTATTTTTTCCGGGATTCATTCAATTTATTTAGGTATTTACAGAAAATAATATTTAATTAAAAAAAAAAAAAAATTATTATTGTTTTAGATGTGGTATGAAACCGATAAAAATGAATTGATTCTAGGCCAAATGTTATGTTTAGAAGGTAGTGGAAAATTTCCCAAACTTGGAAAATGCCATGAAATGGGAGGAAACCAAGAATGGCATCATAAAGGAACAGTAAGTATTAAATAAATGATATTTTAATCTATAATACACCGAGAAAAAAAAAATACTTTTACTCAATTAACAATTTCTTGGTTCAAGAAATTCGCTGACGATCAAATATTCTATTATTATTAATTATTAATTTCTGAAGAGAAGAGCATCAATATTTATCTTTGGATAATAGATAAACAAAAGAATAGCTTTATTTAAATTAAATAAAAATTGTTTCAATCAATTTAATAATTTCTTGAGCTAAGAATACATATTCTTGAAAATTTTCAAGAACATAAATTCTTGTATCAAGAAAATTTTCTTAATAAAAGTATTTTTTTTTTCTCAGTATACAAAATAAAATTATTTCATTTAAAATTTAATTTTTTTCATTTTAGAGCAGTACACCTATTTACAATATCGCTACTGGTACATGCTTAGGAGTGAAACGAGCAAATAAATATGCACAAGTAGTAATGGATTTATGTATGAAGTCCGATGTTACATTAATTAGTTGGGATATTGTCCATGCAAATCCTGCTAAGGATATGAGCTGATCTACATTAGATCGACAATAAAAATAAATAATTTTATAAATTATAATTAAAAGATTTCGGACACGAGTAAATTTTTTATCAATCAATGATTGCGTAAAAAATATGAACCTACTATTAAATGATTTACAAAAATTCTTTGAAATGATTTTTTCATAGAAAAAAATATATTGATATCAGTTAATAATATCTTGATAAAGTATTGAAACAATTTAAAATATTACAAAAATTTTAAATCGAATTTATGGTATTTAATCCATTTTTTTTTGAGCGCAAAAACAATACAATTATAAAATTCAATTGATATAATAATCTGGAAATTATAGGTCAAAAATATAAAAAAAATATTTTTATACATTTTTTTTTTTTGCAAAATTTTGAAACTACGCGATTGATCTACATAAAATTCTAATTAAGGGATGTATATCTATAAAAAAAAAAAAAAACTTTTTTCAATATCGTAAATTCGATTTTTATCAATTAATTGTTTACAAAATATTGTCCGATAAAAATCTATTTAATGACTTTCCTAATCTCAAAACAATTTATACAATTCTTGACTAATTACCCTGTTTCTCGCTAAATATATATGATAATTTAAAGCCGACTTTTTCACTCTTAGATTTTCAGTCGTTTTTTAACTTAAGATTTTTATATACATATTATTAAGATAGTTTTTATACAAATTATAACATTGTAGTATTTCAGAAGAATATTAAATAAAATTTTATTCATATATTACTAACATGAAATTGAAAAAGATTATCGAAAGAAATAAATAAATATATTTATTTTTTTATGTCAACAACTGTATATTGTATTGTTTTATTTTTTGTAATTGACTTTTTTTATTAGTATTAATAAATTAAATAATTTTAAGTAAAAGACATCGTTGAAAATTTATATAATTGTTGTGGAGTCATTGTTATTATTGAAGACATTTTTTAGCGCCAATAATTTAAAAAATGAATTACTTTAAAATAAATCTCATCACGTGACTATATTCAAGACACACAGTGTGACTATACTTTATTCTTGATTTAACACAGTCAACAGTGAATATAGTGAGCTACTCATACTAAAAAACAAAAAATAATTGCTGTTTGTTAATCAATAAAATAATATAAACAATTGTTTAACATTTATAAATATGGCAGCTTCAAAAGATCTTAATCTTGCTAGAAAAAATCTATCCAATTCTCTCGGTGACAACGCTAAAGTGTAAGTATTCTTTGTAGGGTTATCTATCATATATTTACAACAATTTAATGAAAACAAAAAACTTTTTTTTTTAGATACTTCGAAAAAATGAAATTATGGTTTCAAATGAAGGTAAAATAATTCTTATTATGATTAAATTAAATTACTTTAAAAAAAATAAATATTAATAACTTAACATGTTTATAATCAAAATAATTAACTCAATTGTTTTAGAGTACTAAAGAAGAATTTGATAGCGAAGCTAGGAATATTATGACAGACGAGCAAATTCATTTACACAATGAATTTCTTTTGTGTTTATTTAATAAAGTACGAGGTCTTGCAACTGCGACACCTTCTAGACCTGTGAAATCTAACAACACACCTATTCACACAGATAAAGACAAAACTTTAAAGGAAAAGCGATTAAAATTAAAGAGAAAATATAAAACTGATCGATCTAATTTTGAAGTAAGTATATTAATAAAATATTTATCAATTCTGATATAGAATAACGGAAGATAATAAATGATTAATAATATTTATAAAACTTATATTTTTTAGCCGGCAGATATGTATGTAGAAGTGCTAAGTCAGACGTCATCTCCAGTAGGAGACGAACCTATTGGTGCTAATAGATCTAGTGCACAAGAATTATTGCTACCTGATAGGACTTTTGTACTAGCAAGATTGATGTTGGCTGCTTGGGAAAATAATATGGATAGTGCCGATGAAAATACAGCACATCTAATAATTGCTGCAACACAAATATTTCTCAAAAATATAATTACAGCTGTATTTGCAAGGAGAAAGGGATTCACGGTTTATCAAAAAAACTTTATTTATAACATAGGAGAACCAGTATCCTGTTCTTGGAAGAGAAATACAATGTTTATCCCTCGTGGAATTCATTCAAGGTAAATCAAAATATAAATATTTTTTGCCAAACTTAAGTGATTTTTATGAGCATTTTTTACAACATCCAAAAAAACTTGATTGAAATTTTATTTGACTAAAATTATTTAAAGTAAGGAATCAAAACGAAATTTTTATTCGTCATAAATCTCAAAAATTATTTATCCGATTAATTTTTAAATTTAAACAAAACAAATCCTAAAAAAAATATTTCAAGCGACACATTAAAGATCTAATTCGATCAACTCGTTGAAAAATATTGTCAAATAAATATTTACATAAGTAATCTGAAATATTAATTAAAACATAAATTTTTTCTGCTAATATTTTAATTTTTATTTGTATAGTAAACCAACCGACATAGTTGACCCGGATGGACAAGTACCCTCAGTAAAACAAACGGTTGAAGAAATGGAACAAGCAACAGCTTTCGCTATGGCTTGTTCAACATCGGTATTATCATCACCGTTACCACCAGTTAGCATTAATGATTTATTGCAAACATTGAAGGTTCAGTATAAAATTTTTATAATCTTTCTTTTTACTATTTTTACCAACACTATTGATCAAACTATTTTTTCAGATTTACAAAAATCTAGTTAATAACCATACAACTTATGCAACTAACATGGAACGTTTATTTACTTATCCCACCCATTCAACTTGGGAAGATTTAGAAAGTAAAAAGTTATTGTGTTAGAGTCTATTTGTAATGATTGTTTTAGATTAACTAGGTATAAAAACTACTGTACATATTGAGTTGTAATACATGAAATTTTTTAAAATAATTTTATATAATATATTGAGAAATTACTTTATGCTCAGGTAAACAAAATCTCATTTAATTCTTTTACCACTGTCTTTCAAGAATGATCGTTTTATCATGAATCCACGATGCGTTCAATAAATGTGTACTTAAAATCAAGTTATGTGTTTAATGGAACATTAACATTATTATTAACAATCGATACCCTTATGATCATAATAGCAAGAAAAATTTTTATATATATATATTTTTCGATGACATAAATTCATTTTTTATAACTATCATATATATTATATTTTTAAAGTAGTAATGCAGTAAATTTGTATTATAATGATAATGATAAATTCATTTGACACTCAAAAAATAAATGTTATAAAACTATTGAATATAAATTTAAAATAATTATAAAATTGTAAATGAAAGTTGAATTTGTTGAGCTGTACAATTACATTCGTATTTGGAATTTCCCAGCTTTAGTAATGTACTTAACACCTTTAAATGGTTTATATTTTTCGCCATACATATCCAAGCCACTTACTTTCAAGCCAGATACGGCTAATTGATTGATTGTAAAGTGTACCTAAAATCCAAATATTTTTTATTAATTTAAGATATAATATAAAAAAAAAATTTTTTTTTTTTTTTTTTTTTTTCATTAAACAGAACTAGAAACCAGTTTAGCTCAAAAACAGTATATTATGGGGCAAATGTTAAAAAAAAATAATTCTAAACGAAATTATGCTTGCAGTGCAAGTATTTTAGTCAAGTTGTAGTAAAGTTGAAAGGAAATTAAACCAAAAGTTTGGTGTTAACTTGTATTCAAATGGTGGACGTAAATTTTCGTCAATTTGTTTACAACTGTTGTACTGTAAAGAATTGCCGCAAACTAGATGTTAAGTTAACTGTAACTACTGAAATCTAACTACTTTTAAAAAAGCGTAGCTATCAGGGATAAATTTATAATCATTCTACTTAAATACTACATTTTTTTGATTTCATCATAATAGAAAGACGGTTTAGATAGACTTACATTAATAGCAGGATATGATTCAGAAAATGTTGCTCCATTTTGTATGGTAATAGATCCTCGTAAGTTGGGTAACTTTGAAACATCTATTCTTCCAATATCCCAAAATAATACTTTACTAACAGGATCAAATGAATATTTTCCTTGGTTTGGTACCAAAGTACAATTTAGAACAATTTTGGGCATCGGTATTTCGAGTGTTACATTCTCAACCTTAATAAAAATTAAAAATTAAAAAAAAAAGTTAATCATATAAATTTGATATTACAATAAAAAGTAAGAAAAAATATTTTTATTTAAAACTTACTGTTCGACCAACAGTTTGCTTAGGCCCGACTGTTATATCCAATCTGCCACCACCGGATTCTTTTAAGTTAATATTATGTCTTACGTAAATTGGAATTGCAACTATACTTTGTGACCCAATATGATATGACAACAATCGGAAATTACCATCAGGAGGAATAAACGAAAGAATTCGTTCTGACTAGAAATTTTTGATACATTTAATATTGGTTAATTAGAAACGTTATTAGTATAACTAAATTATGTACCTCCCATCGCTTGAATCTAACACAAGGATGAAAACTGACATCATCAAATAATCGTGGATTCATAAACGACAATGTAAGGTCAGGCATACCACTCAATTTAATGCAGCAATCAACCTAAAACGAAATAGGATTTTAATTAAATAATTCATTAAAATATTATCGTGCTTTATACAACATACATATCCTTGAATTTCAGCAAAAACAGTAGCGCCTGTTCGATCAATTATTGCATCAACTTCTTCAACTACATCGAAGTAAGCTTCATTATTTGTATACTTTACTCCTGTTCTCCTCCATGGAATATTGGATAACTGACCGCTAGGTAAAGTTGCGCTCACACTAAATAGAAGAAATATTACATTAATGTTAATTGAATGATTTAAATTGATAATCAAATTACTTACTTGGATTTTCCCGTTACTGTATTAGCGATTGTTCTTAAAATATTAGGTGGTTTTATAAGTTCTTTCAATATATTAGATTCAGTTGCCAAAGGAAAACCATTATCCAACATTTCATCTAATAATTCGTAGACAACAACATAATTTTCTTTAATAATAGTTTCAGTACATTCATTGAAATAGTCTTCAAATGTATCAACAACTCTATGTAAAAATTCGATAACGAATAGTGGTGGAACTGTAATAATTTAATTAAATATTTTGTTTAGTAATATTAGTTTATAAAAATAAAATGATGACAATAATAATAGTATAAATTTGAATCCCGGAAAAATTTTTTAAATTATGAAAAATTCATTTAAAATTCAATTATAATTTTTATTTTATAATAATTTAAATGAAATAATATAAATTTTTCATAACTTAAAAATTTTTTCCGATTAACTATAAATTTATGATACTAAAGTTAGCCGACGTTTGTAATTTTTTTTTCATTAAATTAGAACTAAAAAATATTTTTTTTAAATTGCACGTGTAGTTTTTCAAATTTTTTACGAATTAATTTTTTTTTGTGATAATTTTTTCAATCAAAAAAATTCTAAAAATTTTTAAATGTCAGCTCACTTAATTTTTATATAAATTTACCTTCGGTCGTACAGACAGCAACAAAAAACATGTGACATCGATAAATACTAATTAAATAATGATGCGGTGTAGCAATAACTGGTGGAGTATCTTCAGGGGACAAAACTCTTCTTTGCTGATCAAAAAAATAATCACATAATGATCGTGCAACTGCACTTTTCCAATGTTTCTCCATGAATACATCTCTGCAAATATTTATGTTTTTTATTTTTATAAGACAGGTATGTTTATACTGAGATGACTTTTGAGTCAAAAGTTTTGACTAGTCAATCAATTTTCCAAATTATATTTTAAATCATAAAAGATTAGTATTAACTAGCGAAATAAATTTTATAATAATTTATTTCAAATACTCTTATGTCAAAACTATGATAATATTTGAAATTTTATCTGACATTTCATATTTAACATAGATTTTAGTTGTTCTTACACATCTGTCAAACGACATAATAATAAATATCACTTACCCGGATGAATTGATAATAAAAAGACTATTGATCATGTTTAAATGTATAGATAATTTATAATTCTCTCTTTTTTATTTCAATTAATTTTACTAAACAATAAACTTTTATTTTAATTTCAAGTTGACATAATAAGAAATAAAAAACTAAATATAATGTGAGTGTTTCTATATTATTATTATTATGATTGTTGTTGATGTTAGAAAAGGGACTTGTTAAGAGTGGCGGCCTCTGGTAAAAAAATATTAAGTTGTAAATGCAAACCAAAAAAATTTTGTTTTGCGTATCGATAAGAACGATTGCACTGATGCATTAAACTTGACTTCTGAACCGCGAAAAATTTGAATTGATTCTTTGTCAAAAACTTGATGTTTTTTTTAAACGGAAGTTTGAAATTGATTGTCAAGAAATTTACAAAATAAAAAAAATCATGAAATTCGCATAATACTAAAGTTAGCCGACGTTTTTAATTTATGAAAATAAAGTTAGCTGACATTTAAAAATTTTTAGAAATTTTTTATTGAAAAAATATCAATTAAACATTAAAAAAAAAAAAAGATTGTCACATAGTAAAACTTAAGTAAAACTAATAAGTTAGTTGTAATTTAATTAATAAAAAAAAAATCAAAAAATTTTAGACGTCTGCTAACTTCAGTGTCATTTTAATTTTTTGATTTTTTTTTTAATAATTAAATTATAACAAAAAAACACTTTTTAAAAATTGCACTTACAGTTTTTAAAGTTTCTTACAAGTGAAATTTTTTTTTATTCTTTTGTAATCTTTTTTTTCAATAAAAAAAAATTCTAAAAGTTTTTAAATCTCGGCTAACTTAATTTTCATGAAATTCGTATAATAATCAAATTTTTTTTTACAAATTAATATTTGTAAATTCAAAAAATTATCAGTAAGTATTTATTATAAATATAAAAACCATAACGTCAATAAAATGTAGACGTGTACATACAAACGTTGAAAATTTCTGAAATTTGTCGGCAGGTAGCACTGCAATCAGAATTTACGCCATATTTCTCTTGGATTTGGGCTGGTCATCACTCAAGTAGGCACGGCTGGGTCTGGGAATCTGGCCGAGGCCGGGGTTGTCGGGTTTTTCGGTTGCTAGTCGCAGAGTTTGAGTGGTCAAGGGTAGTTGGTTCCTCAGTGAGATCACCATACGCGTGACAGTGAATAATCAAGCAAACACCAGTGGAGGGGTAAACACATAAAAAATAATTAGAAATAAACTTTATGCTAAGTAGAGACAAATGTTTTATATTTAATCCGAGTGACTCGTGTCTTAGTGGCAACAAAATATCAATTTAATTTAATATAACCTTATATCCCAACAAAGCTTGATTGTAGCTCATAGGTGGAACCGTAGTTGGTGCTTGCTGAAAACCACTTGAAAGTAAGGACTCTGGACGGATCGCCTAGCCGAATACAAACATAATTTCCATTTGAGAAAAATAAATAAAAAAAAAAAAACGGTTTGCTAATTGCTGATCTCCATATATTTGTCATCACGGCCCGACACGGGTTTTGTTGCTCGCGTCGGGTCCAAGGTACAGGTGCAAGTGCGTGCAAGGTGAAAAGTGAGGACTCGTGATCGCTAGCTGAGTGTAACACAATGGACGGCAGCTCAAAGCAGCCGTCATCAGACATTACGGCGATGGATGGAAGTGGCAGTAACAAAAGCAGCAATAGCCACAGAACAAATACTAATACTGGTGATACTGATTCATCCGGTTCGTCGCCTACACCATTAACAGCAACAGCAGGAGCCGACCCAGAATACTGTTCGTCTAGTTCAAGTACCGCCGTGGCAATGATGACTACAAGTGGTGATATCAGAAGCAATAGTTTTGCTTTGCCAACCCCAATACCACCATTGTCGCCAGGGTGTGGCTGTATGGTCGTGGACCCACCGACAACCGACCTCGATGAGATTACGATCAGCATTACACCCACAACTGGCGGACAATTTGAGCTGGTAGTTGAGCGCAATGAAACCATCGAGAACCTCAAAAAAATTATTTCCAAGCGACTAAAAGTTGCCAAGGAACGCATTTGTTTACTGCATCGAGAAAGGTGAGTGTATAAAAATAAAAAAAAATATTATACTATATGTACATGCCTAAACACACAGACAAAGACAGTCGGAACTTTTTTTCCATACACATATACATTCTTGAGCGTTAGACTTCTACTCTACTCTCTAGATTGTGTATCTGTCGAACAGTACGATAAATCTTTGGTCCCTTCAGTTCCTAACGTTTTACGTATATATCCTCATCCTCCCATCTAGATCTTGATATTCATGAAAAAAAAGGAGAGTGAAAATATACTCATGCTGTATATACTTATACACGTTCAAAGAAGGGGAATTATAGAAAAAGAACACTACTGGGGAATCAGCGCATCGTATCGGAGCTGCTGCACTTTTGGTCGTCGAATTGGTTGAGTGGGAGCTGTGGGCGTCGTGGGGGCTGCGGATCCTTCTCCGCCAGTCACGCGAGAATTGAGATACATGCTGGTAGTGTATATACATCGAACACTGAATTCACTGAAGGCAATAGAGTATGGTAAGCAGAGGTGATATGAGACTAGCGCAGGGACAAGAGGTCGATTTTAGTAATATATATATATATATGTCAGCCTGCTTGTATGCGTGTATAGTACACTAGTATAGTACAATAGTAGTATACATATACACGCTACCTTCATTACTGGATTCAACACAATCTTTACATGTATGGCAAATAAAACGATGACAACCAAGTCACATGATACTGTAGCAGTGAAGAGTTGAAAATTCTATTCCCGGATTTAACCACAGTATTCTTTCTCTTTCCACTTTTATTCATGGCTCCAAGGCTTATTCACTTACTAAAATTCTCAAGAAGGCCTTCACTCCACTCTACTCAACCAACTCAGAACTCACTGCTGTGTGGTGTGTCTCTTTGTGTCAGCTAGGAGCCATTTTCAGACTCAGGTATACACGCTTCGGTCACCCTATGACGACATTCACGCGTGTAAGCTCTATTTTATCTTGCTTCATCTTATTTTCTATCGTGTAGAGATATCTTGCAACTAGTTTTATGTATTTGAGACCGCTTCGTTTCCCAACTCCGTTGAGCAGAAGAACAAGTGTCATTTGAGCGTGCACGAATATCTCATCATCTACGTCTCTTTCCATCACTACTTTTTTTCTTTTTTTTTTTCAATATCACAACCTGATCCTTTTGTTCTCTTCAATCAACAAGATACAGGTCACCATTTACCCCCTTTTCTTTCTTACTCTCATACACGTTTTATGTTTGAAGATACCGGTCAGTGCATTTTTTTTACACAAGTGCACTGGCGCATGCGTAATCTAACAATACACTGTAGGTAAACTTATCGTCTTACCGCTATGTTGTACACAATGAAAAGTTTTGATAATGTATATGTAATGGGCATGTCTGCATAAAAATCAAGAATGACAAGAATATAAACAAATGATCCTTCTAGGTAGAATATAAAGTTTCATTAAATTTTTAAACAATTCACTGCATAATTAATACAATCACTTTTTTAAAGATTCTTGCTGCGGTGTTGAAAATTTCCATTGATGAAGAAAACATTGATGATAATTCATTGTAAACTTTTTTTTAATCATATATTTACCAAAATTTTACCGTTTGCATCTTGTTTGTTCAAACTAATAACATACACGGAAAAAAGTAAATTGTAATATTCACTCGGATTCCGGTTAATTTTTATAGTTTCAAACAGTAAAGCGGACATCGGAGTTGCAAAAATATAAATATTACAGAACTTAATGTAGAAAGTATAAAAGCCACAATTTATAATTTAATATCCAAAATAAGTGATTAGTAGCTGTCACTATAGTAAATAACGACTCTTTCATCTTAAAAAATTACAGTTTCAAACAGTAAAAATTGCCATTTCAATATATAGTACATATTATGAGGAGAAGAGGAACTCAGATGAAAGAGAAGGGGGTATCACTCTGGGAGAATTTAACATTTGAAACAGTAAAAATTATACTGTTAAAATATACATTTTACCAGTCCAAGCAACTCAATAATTACAGTTAGATTTTTAGCGTTGCGTTTAAAATTTACAATTTTACTTTGTAAATATTGACGTTACT